CCTCTGGTGCTGCTCTTGAGTCATGGATTTTCCTGGACATCACAGTAGCCATTGGGATTAACACTGTGAAGGGTTCACATAGGGCCATCCACAGGACAGCAGCAGGAAAGCTGTGGGCTTTACTTTTTGAGTCAATTAGTTTTGCTTTCTGGTGTTTGTGGATTGCCCAGATGCTATAGCAGCTGCTTTTCTAGTATCACAGGAACTACTGAAAAAATTGTGGTTGTTTGCTTGTATATTTTTATTTTGTAAACCTGTCTCTCAGATTATTTCTGTACAATAGCTCTTTGTTTTCACTTTTCCTGTCCTACTGAATTTTGTGTTTACCCTATTTTACATTATCCTTCTGGTTATATGGGTTTGAGAAACTTAATTTAAATTGAGTGTTTGACAAAACTTTAATATTTCTGTTTTATGTGTTTGGCTATCAGGATTATCTTCTGTAAGGCCCTGTAGTTTATAGAGGACACATAAGGCTGATAAAAAAGATTGTTGTTCAGGAAAGAGCAACTGAGAGAGGGTTGGTTGCTCCATGTGCATATCCCTTTCGATTTATTGGAACAAGACTGACAACAGGGACATGTTAAGCTGCATGACCATGCCCAAGCAGGCAGTATTTGGCATCAGTCAGGCAGTACCACGTTCAGCATGTGTTGTCAATGGCAAGGCTGTGGCAGGTGACCAGCTGGCGCAGTTGCTGCCCATGTGGTGGGTAATGGGTCACTCTGTGGAAGGGCTTGTGTTAAAATGCTTGCAATATGGGAACTCTTCAGTAGGTGACCTTGGACATTTTCAGAGAGCAGTTTCAGTAATGATCTAGCTTATGGCAGGGCTTCCGAAGAGCATATGAGCCTACTTCTGCTTTTAAAGAAAAATCTCACACAAATCTCACTAAAACAATGAGGGTTGTAATTCAAATACCGACTTGTTGATCAGAAAACTTTTGGAGTACCTTGTGCCTTCCTCCCATCCAATATGGATCATCAGCACCAGGCCAAAACCTCTCCTCCTTGTGAAAAATGCCCTGAGAGATTCAGTTGTGTATGGGCTCCATGCAGGCTGGAAATCCCGAGTGTGACTTGTAGCTTTTGCAAGAAGTGGAGGTTGTGGGGGGTTTTTGATGCACATAAGTGCTTAATTCAGCATTCTCTTAAACTCACTTGACTCAGCTGTTGTGAAATCTCTCGATGCCATTTAATGATCTGATTCAAGCAGGGATTTTTTAATTTTGGCGTTGTGTCACAAAATGGTACCACAAGAGAGAAAGCATGTGTACTCCTGTCGCTGAAAGCCTACTTTGACATACTTTGCTCGTACTTAATAAATAATAATAATAATAATAATTGTATTACAAATTATGTCTTTTGTTAAAACATAATTTCCATTAGATCTTGAGCTTAGGGGTATTTTTTCAATGCAGAAAATTATTTTTGCACTGTTTTGTGTTATTTCTCTTAAATGGAAGGCTTGAGAGACACCTTTTTCTTTTCCCCACATGTCAGATTAATTGTGCAGGATAGCATTGGTCCTCTGGCTTTTTAGACCACCTCTTCATTTGAGTCCCTTTTTGGCATGTTCATCACAGCACTAGTAAACTGTATTAGGGACAGCAGGGCAGTTTTGAAGGGTTCTCCTTTCTCAGTGAAATGCACTTGACTGTTGTTAGGTTGAGTTTGCTGTTTTGTTTTATATTTCTTAAGCTTGTTCTTTTTGTTTTAGTTCTTTGCATTGGTCCATGCTATCTCAAGCTCTAATTTTCATTTCCAGAATAACTATGAGAGTTCTTATTTTGCATGCTGTCCCTTTAAGGTTTAATTTAGGGTTTTCCATGTATTCAGCATGTTTCTTATCTTGAACCATTTATATCTAGAAAGGAAAGAAGTTTTTGCTGAATTCTCATTTAGGCTTGTCTTAAATCTCATTCTAGTTTCCTGCATATTTCACTTGACCTCCCAGACTGGGAGGGTCTTAGAGGATGGATGTTCCTGCACGCTGCCAACAGGGTCCTCTGGAAGTTCAGGAGCCAACTTGGTCATCTTCCTGTTCTTTCTGCTGACCCTGCAGAGTGGCTCTGGGTTCCTATTTCCTGAGGATTTCAAGTGCTGTGATGTTTCATAACATGGTCTTCTAGTTAGTAATGATAAAGTTCAAGGCAGGTTTTCCACATCCTTATCCTAATAAAGGCATGATTCAAGATGAAATAAAACAAAGCAGACCTTTCAGAGCTTGAGCAGCAGGGCTGCAAAAAGCCCATGTTAAGGAGATGAGGTCTACACATGTGATCCTACAGCCCTATCTCATGACTTCAGTCTTGTTTAGATGATTTTGATCAAGTGTTACAGTGGGTTTCAGAAATCTGAGGGATGCATGGCTCTGGAAAAAATTAAAAGTAAAGGAAAAGTAGCTACCCAGTTTTCAAGAAGAGCTCTTCCTCCTCCTCTCTTATTTGGGTGGCAGCCGTTATTAGAAGTTGGTGTGTTTTCTAGCTGAGTGGTGCACAGTCCTATTTCTGAATCAGCTCACAGAACAATTTCCTCACCCAAACAAGAAGGCAGTGTGTGGCAGAGATAGAAGTATTAGAACAACTAGACTGAAGAAGAGAAAACAGTGAGTTTGAGTGGGAAGGATGAATCTGCAGAGACCATCTTCTGTGGTGCTGTCATGTGCAACTGATTTGTCATGTTGTTTTTCTTGGTGTTTGTCTGTGAATTCTTCATATTAATTAACCTGCTGAGTGATGTATGGGTTGCTCTGCCTACCCTACTAACCTGTGCATACTCATCAAAGGATAGGTGTCACAAATATGGAGGTTATCTTCCTAGAAGTGATACTCTGCTTCCTTTCCATGTTCACATGAGATCCACTCACAGGATATGTGTCATCCCCTTTTGGTTTCCTAATTCTCTCACTGAATCTGTTTTTCTGTATCCGGGATGATACATAGCCTCTGTTAAGTTGCTTGCTTTTCTAGGATTTTCTCTCCTTAGATCCATTTTACTCCCAAATCCTTCAGCTTGTGGTATTTTTTGTTCTACACTATGACCTTTGAGTTTTCCTTTATGGTTCTTCTGACTAGGAACTGCAGTTTATAACTCTTGAGATGTAATTACCTCTAATTCCACTTACAGTTTGTGTGTTTAGTCTTGGGACTGCTAACATAGTTTTCAGCCCCAAAAGTTTTGCTATCAGTTGATGCTCTTCACATTCATCTGTAGATGTTCTGTCTGGACCACATGCACCTACAAGTGGCTGCTTTCTCCATCTTCGCAGGGTCCCTCTGCCTGGTACAAATCCTTGTCCTGTCATCTTTATGGTTCTTCACTGCAAAATAAGGCTCTGATATCTCCATGTCTGTCTTTTTCCCTCAGCCAGGGATTATACCTAGGATGCTCTGAACCTATTGGGACTTTCACATTTTGCTCACAGGTTTGCTCACATATCCTGTTGATGTCTGTGATGCCTCCCAGCTCCTGTCAGAAATTTTTTTCTGGGATCTCCTTTCTTCCCCAACCTTCTCTCAGTATACTTTGTGCTGATGTGAGTGACATCTGTAATGGTGTGATGGCCTGTGCCAGTATTTGTTGTGTTTAGGATACAGCTTTAATGAAGAAATGTCTTCAGGCTGTACTCCCCTGTCAGCTGTTAGGATATCCAAGTACAGAGCTTTGGTGTTTGATCTGCCTTCAGCCTTTTGCTTCTTCAGCCTCTCTTTCTCACTTTGTCTCAGCAGGACAGACGACATCACTGTGTGTCTGGATGGCCTCCTACAATGTCACTTGTTCAGTCTTTCATTGCCTGGAACATACACAAGGTTTTATGGTGAAAAACCTCTGAGGGGCTTCCTCCTCCTGCACAGGTGGCCTCTCAGGCACAGCATGACCCCCAGCCTGCAGCAGCATTCCCGCAGTGCTCGCTGGTGCTTGGCTGGCAGTTAGGGCTCTGCTTCTGTTGGCATCATAAATATTATTTTAAAGGAAGGGTTTGGATTTTTACTAATGTTCCACATTAGTATTTCCACAAACTATTTGCATTTGTCCATGCTTTGACTTTTTAACACTGAAATGGCACCATTAGCAGGGACAAGTATTGCCTGAGGAGCGTTGGCTACGTGAGTGTGGGTATATGTCTATAAAGATGAGGTGCCAAGATGTAAATTTGCAGGAAATGGGATGCTGATTTCAAAATCAATTGTTTTGTAGTCTTCATAGATCTTATTAGCATTCATAAAAATTTAACTAGACTGAGGATGTGTACATCTTCTTGCATATTTGTGATAGTTTTACAGAAGATATATAGAGGTGTTTTCCAACCGAGTATTTAAATTCTTTTTAGAGCTTTTACTGTTTGTTAAGAACTGGCTTCAGAAACTAGTCCCAATAGTCTATTAAGAAGTCTGTTGAGCTTATTCATTTCTAAATATCTGCTGCACACAGAACTTAGAATGCTACTCACATTAGGAGTAATGACTGTTTCCTGACTGGAGAGTTGAATGGAAACATTTAAGTGGATTTCAGATCAAACATACGAACACTTGAAGCCTATTAGATCATTAATTTTAATTTTCTGTTTTGCACAGTCAAATGTTTCCTCCCAGAGCAATTTGAGTGTAAATGGGGTTTACTGTAAGAGGTGGTTTATTGTTTGGTTGGTTTTGTATTTTTGAGAATGGTTATTGCTTGGTTTATTTTTCTCTTGATAAAGTCTAGAAGTAATCCAGTGTGAAAAAAGATTGCATTTGCCCTTAAACAGGAAAAGCCCTTACAGCCCTCGGTGCACTGTCACTATGTTCTAGTTTCTAATGACCCATCTAGGTACTTGGGGCTTCAGTCAGTGTCAGAGAAGCTTTAGAGGAAGGTATCCCTGCCAGGCTATTGTATTTTGCAAGTCTGCACACTGATAACCTGGATAGCAGATATGAATGGGTATGAAAGCTCCATTCTCAGACAAGAGTTTCTGAATGCGTGCTCTGATTAACATTGTTTTTGTTTCCCCTCTTTCAGGTATTCACTTATAAACAAAGCACGATCACACACCAAAAAGTAACGCCTATGCATCATACAAGTACAGAGAGTGTGGAAGACATGGCAGCACTTGTAGATCTCCATGAAGGCTCCATTATGCACAACTTATTCCAGCGATATCAGCAAGATAAAATCTATGTAAGTTTTTTCTAAAATTAAGAAAAATATCCAGAGGGAATGTTTTTGAATGTTTAAGTTCTGTGTGTGTTTTGCTGTTCTGTGCTATCTCCTCTCCGAATGCTTTCCAGTTCCTTGTGCATTCACATAGCATGAAGCATGCCTCATACAGTGACTTCTCACCCGCGATGATGGAAGGACAAGGTAGCTCAGGCTGGACACACAATCCCTTGGAAATCTGGAAAAGCGGGATGCCACATCTTCACTTCTGTACTTTCAGTGACAGAGTTGTGTAAAGGACTCATTTTCCTCTTCTCCTTTAGACTCTCTGCCCCAGCAACACATGCTGTGTATGTCACCAGAGAGGATGTGGTGGAACTTACTCTGTCACTGCCATTTGAGATCCTGTTCTGATCAGCTTCCCCTCTTGTATTGTAGTAGAAAGGTTATTATGAAAGAAGCACATTATTGTCAAGCTGTTAAATAAAGATAGTTGGAGTTTGGGGTCTATGAGAACAGACAGCTGTTTATCAGTTTCTCAGACTAGGAATTAGTCCGCACAGAATTCCTTTTCTTAACTGTGTAATGAAGATTTTTATGATTAGATTTACCTGCAACTTCAATATTTTCATTACTCTTGAACTAACTAGGTACAAATCTTTCCTGAGTCTGGAACTGCACATATTAGCAAATAAAAAGGAATATTAGCAGCTGCTACAGGTTGCAAAATCACACTTTTTGGTTTTTCAGTGGTTGGCCATTTTGGTTTGGGTTTTTTTACTAATAATTGCAGAACACAATTTTTGTTTCATCACAACCACGTCTGGGCTCTTGATTTGACCATATATATGCTTTATTTCGAACTTCACCTACTGAGTTTGGGTTCTTATTTTTAAATATTAACATATCTAAGTGAAAAAATAAAGTTTCCCTGCATTTAAGGTGTGATAAAGAGCAAAAAAGGGCACAATAAAATAATATTCCTTTACAAATTACCTTGAAAGTGGCTAGCATGGGGAATCCTCAGTACTGAGGCAGTTCTCTTTACATAAGTCTTTATGTATATTTTTTTTCTCAAAACAAATGAACTGTTTTACCTTTCAGAAAAATCAGAAAAAAAAACCTGAGTAGCATAAATGAACAGTCCTGCATCTGTGAGGAAAAAACATGTACTTGATAAAAGTTTAGTTTTCCTTCAGTGTTGTTAGGTTAGCATATGGTACTCAGTTTGAGTCAAAATTTTGAAAAAATTGTTTCATGATGTACACTCACACATCATGAAATATGCCCCCTTTTAGAAAACCATGAGGGTATGAGTGTGATTCTTTGGATGAGGCATAGAACAGTCTTGTTCTGAAGAGACATGTCCTAGCTTCTTTCTTAGCTTGTCAAGGCAAGTTTAGTGTGTTCTGATCCTTAGTGCTTAGTGTGGTGTACGTTTCCAGACAAACAGGTTTGTGTGCTGTTAATGATGACAGATCTGCAGTTGCTACTGACTGTGCATTGTTCCTTCAGTTTTGCTAATTTAACTGCTTACTCTTTTGAATCCATCTGAGAAATGATTGAAAAGGTGGTTGGAAAAAAAAACTAGTGTTTTGAAATGCATATGAAAGCCTCTCTGTGTATGTGTGACCAGGCCCTGACTACAGAGGCGTCTTCTTTTCTCCAGCCTCATTGGTACCCCACTCCCACTGCAGCAGTAGTAGTGTTTTAGCAGGAAAGGGCTTCAGGAACAAAAATATCCCAAAAAGCTGATCGAATATCTTGAATATTTTCATGAAAGTTCATAAACAAAGGAGCATGTATTTTAGAAGGGGGTGTTGTCATTGCAAAAGGAGGTCTGTCATTTTAAGGCAAAATTTCTTCACTGTATTGAGCAATTCAATGATATTTTAATATTTAATGTTAAAACAAACAAACAAACAAAAAACCTGAAGATGCATTAAGCTTATCTTTGTTGAAGGTTACTTTGCAGCTGCTCATTCAAACTTGCTCAGTCATTCTGCGCTGTGACCAAACTAGTTCTAATACAGGACAGTAAAAGCCATTAGAGTTTATGCCAGGAGCAATCAAAACTTTCCAGATTATACATTTGCTTTCTTCCTTGACCAGGAATTGCTTCATCGTTGTAGTTCACCCATTGTCTCTTGTGTCTGCCTCATCACCTTGGCTGTATCTGCCCCTGGTGGATTAGGGATAAACTGAGAAGGCATGTACCATTCTCCACTGGGGGCTTTTAGGGGCTGAACATGCCATGGAAAGATTTCCTGCCATCCCTGGATACAAACCACCATATAGTTGCTGTGTTCTGGCTTTTAGCTTACAGATCCCTTTTTGCCTCAGTTCCGTGCACCTCTTTGTCCACATCCCGAGTAGGGGGAAGAGATATGCAAAGGTGTATGCTGTCATTTTTAGAGTTCTATGCTTGTAGTATTACAAATACATTAGTGTGGTTCTTGAGTATGCCAGCTTTTTTGTTAGTTTTCTCAATGGTATTGTGACCAGGAAGCACCTTTTTACCTTAACAAAGAATACACTTAGTTGGGATTAAAGTTTTGGGGTTTGCTTGTTCACACACACATAAAAATTATATCAAGTGCAATATACTTAATTGTAGTGTAAAGTATATATAATTTCTAAAGTACAGAAGAAACAATTAAAGGGAAAATTAAACAGTTTCTTTCTCAGAAAGACATTTATGCAGATCTTCCATTGATAACTTCTGTGTTTTTCTGTATTTGAAGAGCTGTTTCTCCATCAATGAGCATTTAAATATCTTCAGGTATTTGAGCTCAGTTTAATCTTCCGTTACTTCTTAACATTTTTGTCTCACATACTCATACCCATGTTTCTTAACTTTTCACTGCTTCCTAATTCATACTACAAAGTTATTTGCTATGGATGCCAAGTTTTGTCAAATATGTCAGTGACTTTATTTACTGCTGCCAACAACTGCAGCTATAAAGGGTCAGCAGAGAATTTTCTATGTTTCCTGGTGTCTCCTGGGGAGGGAAGAATATTGACTTAGATTACAGATCATGTTCACAGTGTAAATGATGCCTGTCTCTGATCATAATGAGTTGAGGCTCTCAGCTGAATCTGTGCTGTTTGCGAGAAGCTGAATGACAAAATGTTCTTGTCTATGTGCAACCATCTTTTTGTATCAGTGTCAAATCTGTTAATATCTTGTGATAAGTTTCATGTGAATTTCCATAAAAGAGTGTGTGCTTTCCCTTTTTGGCCTGTGAGAAACATAGAATATACAAGTCCTTTCTTGATTCTTCCAGGCAGGCTGGTACTGTCTGGTAGTTTTTTTTCAGGCTTTGTTATTAATCCTGCATTTATCTGAAAGTTTGGTTCTGTGCTATCACCATGTTTGTTGTCCAGGAAATGACAAAATTTAGGATGTAAGTGATCATATAGTGCATGGGTTTTCATTGCTACATCATATCCCATTTTGTTCCTATTGGGAGCAACAGTAGGTGATCCAGCTGTGGACATCAGCTTACAAGGTTTAATGCTCATCTTTGAATACTTAGATTAGCTTGCATCCTAGACTGGTATGTGGCAAAATATGAAAAGATAAACACTAGTGCTAAAAATGGAAGGCACCCACGTTTGAAAACAGAGCCTTTTATGAAGGCACTTGAGGGATTTGGTCACCTCTGAAGCAAGGCCATTACAGGGCACATGGAGTGGAGAGGCCCAAAGTGCCATGGCAGCCACTCTTGTGGACATTCAAAGGCAAGTTGTTCCCAAGCTGTTGATTCTGGTTTACTTTCAGTTAAGTACACGCTACGGGGCAGACTGGCTCAGCCTTGGAGAGAATGCCATAAACTCCATGGCATGGATTATGCTACGAGTTGCACAAATTATGGTGTTTGGTCTGGCTCTGGGATGAGTTGCAGTTGTCTTATCTCTGCCAGTGGTTGGTTACTGATGCAGGTGAGCAAACTTTGGAAGAGTAGAGCAGAGGATGAGAGGACAGCTTTTCCTGAGGTGAGAGGCAGGCTGGAAATAACTGCAGTATGTATTTTGCAGGTCAGTGCAGAGGCTTTCAGTGTCATATCCACCCTCATTTGCATGAGTCCGAGAAATAAGCAAGTTTCAAAACACTTTTGATTAGCTTTTTCCTTTTGAATTAAATTAAGAAATGCTGGGTTGGCACATTCCTTTTTGTGGTGATGATTTGGCGTGTGCCTGTCTTGTTTAGGTGAAGGATGTGCACCATGTCCTGAGCAGCATTCTGCTTGGGCTGCAGTGTGGCGGTCCCTCGGTCACCCTCCCCCAGTGGTGGGGAGAGTGACCTCCAGGCTGTCCAGCAGTTGGGTGTGGTGGCCAGGAAGGGTGAGGGACAACACAACCTATTTTTACTCACTCTCAAATTAGGACTGCAGCTCGCCCGCCATATAATTATAACCATCTGTTATGTTTGTGTGCATATGTATGAAAAGTTCTGTACCAGCCACGTTGACATGTAGTGCTGTACCAGCCACATCCACATCAGAGGGAGGATGATGGTAATTAGGAGCTCAGTTTTCATGGCTAGCTTTCCTTCTCTCTTCAGCTGAAGCAACAAACATAGAATAACTTGGATGAAAAAGCAACATTTATCTGATTTTTTAAAAAGGTGTTAAACTTTCTTAGTTTAGAAAACTAAAAAAGAAGAAAACTAAAAAAAATAGAATTTTTTCTTTTAGAAAAATTGTCTCTTCCCTGACAAGGTTGTTGCAGAGCTCCTAGCCACTGCGTTGTACAGAGTGCTCAGTTCTGTCCATTCTTAAAAGGTATTTTCAGTTATTTATGCATTGATTTTTATATCTATTAGTGTTTATTTACTTAAGCAGCATGTTCACTTGTAGTTTGTTAAGCTTGCAGTAATTAGATAATTTATCTCCCTCGAAGTCATCAGGGCTCCCAGAGGCAACTAGTTGATGTTTGTGCAGGATTAATCAATAATCACCACAGGGCTTTTTTCAAATTCGGTCTGCAGACACAGACACTTTAGTATCTAGGTCAGT